AGTTCTCTATTATATTCATTATTTTCTTAGATCTATTATGTACGTTATTTTCGTCTTGAACCTTCTTAGTTCTGTATGTGCACTAGAGAATTTTCCTAAGTACAATTATTATAGAATAGAACCAACCAAGTTCATGCTCACATAGATAATGTTCTATAAAGAGTACTCTAGAATGCTCCGCTTATACTATCTATAAAATATTGTCATTATTGAAAGCAAGGCATAGCCTAATCAAACTTTGGTAGGCAGCACTCATTGACATTATAGAAATGGGGAGGAGTCAAAACCTCAAAGTGCTTCTCATTGAGTCAAATATAACTAATTTTTCTATTGAACCTGGTACGTGAGATCTCCAGTCATCAGGTTAGATTTCCATTAAACTGGCCTATTAGTTTAGACTTCACACTCATTTTTTTTTTATGCGTAGTTTATTCTCTCAAAATAACCTATTTGTAAACAATCCAATAGGTTATTCTTCAATAAAACAATCAGTATTGTTCAATTTGAGAGTAACTATCAAATAATATCATATCTACGACATATTTGTTGTGACTTATCATTAAACATGATATTTTGTGTCATTCCATTTGTAGCAAGCTCTCTCAATTAAATCATAAGCACAAATTGTCACCAATTAGAATTTTTTTTTTCAAAATCATTCAAGCCGTCATTCTTCTTTCTAAACTAATAAAAATCTCTAAGTTCTTTCAGTTCTCACATCGTATTAAGGATTTTTACAAAACAACTACACTCATAATAGTAGAGCATATTTACTAATAGATTTTGAATCTTTGCATTGAATATCCAACTTTAAACATTATGTGCATTTTAAATTTAACAAAATATTCACTGCAATACAGTTTATCATTATAAATATTCTAAGATATCTCAATATCTATTTTGAAGAAAACAATGCCACCTCCACAAATTCTGAGGTGCATCGAACTCGAATAGAGAATGTTATGCAAACAAATCTACAACCACAATCTATGTCAGACCAAGCTTAAAAATATAATATTCGTCCACTCTTCTCATATTCGATCAAATTGTTAATTATGTCCATCTTCTTGATAAATAATTTATCCCACTATCAGCTCAAAAAAATAAAACAAAATAATAATAATAATAATAATAATAATGAACAATCACTTATTCTCATTTTAAAGAAATTGTAGTCCCATTTTGTGTTGTGATTGACCCAACTTTAATTGGATCATTCAAATTTGACCATAGTCAACACAAAGATCAAAATCCAATTTTTGTGTTGCACTATGTTAGTCGGGTCGCAAAAATGGGGGACCAATCTCGAATCGTATTCTGCTTGGTGTAATTGAAAAGTTGTGCATCCCATGAAATGTATAATTAAGATTAATTATTGACTTTAACTTGATATTTTTAACAGATTTTAATGTACACAAAATAAGAGAATAATGTCAAAATTTGGCTGTCCCTATCTTATAATTTTGGTCATTCTCATGACTAAATAATTTGTTGGAAATAGATAATGTGGAGGAAGATATTGAGCCAACTAATATTTGATTGAACTAATAAAAGGAATATTAAATTCAGAATAATGATGGAAAATCCTTTTATTGCAAAACGCAAAGCAAATTGTGAAGGCCTGAAACTTACGGATACAAATGGGACCATGGTGGTTGAATTCGCTTCTTGTAATGCGATGATGGAGACTAAGAATCCATCCACTTATAGTAATTGTAGTTTAGATGGTTGTCTGGGCCCTTGATTAATGGTTCAATCAATAAATAGCATTACTCTTCCACTTTATTATCTTGCAAGAATGATAATTGTTGGACATCATCATTGATATTATACAATTACAATAATTTTTGTTCTCCTCTTTTCTTTTATTATACACGATTGAATTAAATAAATGTTATCATGGATAGCCCTTCTGAAAGACATATTCTTTGGACCATTTGTATACTTTTATTTATAAATAATGTTAACCTTAGAGCTAATATGAAATTTTACTTGATAAAACCAATGTTAATTTTACTTTATATAACTCTTCTTCTAAAACAAATATAGGACAATGTTAATTTTACTTGATAAAACCAACGCTTGATTGTACTCCTCTAAAATGAAAGATATTGAACAGGAAACTTGAAAGTAAATTGGAAACTATTTTAACATATTTTGGAGAGGAAAGAATTAGAAATCAATTATATAAAATTAATTTGGAGTGAAAAAAAGAAAAAGAAAAAGAAGGAATTAGTAGGATCCTGTTTATAAATTTCCATGTATCACTTCCTAACTATCGCATCTTTTGGTAAAATTAATTTCAAATATTAAACCATACAATTTCAAAATTGATGGTCTAGATTGCATTGTATCAAAAGAGTATAACTAATTATTACTCACTTTTTTCACTTAGAGATGTCAATCAGACTTGTTGGCTCAGCTCGTGGCTTGATGAAACCAAGCCAAGGCTCGAACCGAGCTTTTTTTCAAATGATGTCTCGAGCCCAAGTAGACCCATGTGGCTCCTTGTGCCACACAGTCAATCTGTCGATGATGTTAATTTTAATTGATAAAACCAATGCTTGATTGTACTCCTCTAAAATGAAAGATATTGAACACGAAACTCGAAAGTAAATTGGAAACTATTTTAACATATTTTGGAGAGGAAAGAATTAGAAATCAATTATACAAAATTAATTTGGAGTGAAAAAAAAAAAAGAAAAAAAAAGAAGGAATTAGTAGGATCCTATTTATAAATTTCCGTGTATCACTTCCTAACTGTCGCATCTTTTGATAAAATTAATTTCAAACATTAGACCATACAATTTCAAAACTGATGGTCTAGATTGCATTGTATCAAAAGAGTATAACTAATTATTACGCACTTTTTTCACTTAGAGATGTCAATCAGACTTGTTGGCTCAGCTCGTGGCTTGATGAAACCAAGCAAAGGCTCGAACCGAGCTTTTTTTCAAATGATGTCTCGAGCCCAAGTAGACCCATGTGGCTCCTTGTGCCACACAGTCAATCTGTATGGTAGGTCAAAATGGTCATGAACGGGCCATTTTTTGCCCGTATAACAGGCCTGGTTGTCTGCTTGAAGCAGCTGCATAGTGTCTGAAGCAGGCAGCTACTTGCTGATTGATTGCTTGCCAGAAAAGCAATAGGCTGCTTCAAGTCTCAATAATTGTCTTCTTTAGGCAGCTGTTAGACTATTTCAGGCAAGTGGTTGCATTTTGCTTATCTTTTAAAAAAATAAAAATTAAAAAAAATAAAAAAGGAAAAGGAAAAGAAGAAGAAGAGGAAGAAGGAGGAGGAGGAGGAGGAGGAGGAAAAAAATCGGCTCGGCTCAGTAAAGCTCAAGCCTAAAGTTTGAGCCAAGCATTAGTTTTTCGATCGAGCTTTGGCTCGATTAGACTCGAGTGCCTAAGCCGCGATCTTTGGCTCAAGAGCAGGCTCAACTCGGCTCGTTTACATCCTTATTTACACTTAAAAAGTCAAATCTAATCATGTACGTATTGGAGACTTTTACAATTCATATGGTTTAATTCTTATATTACCTAAAATTTCAACAATCCTCTACATGAATGGAAACATTTGATTCAAAACTAGGAAGATGAAGAAGATATAACTGAAATATAATACATTAGGATCGATAGCCTTCACGTTGAACCTTCCAAAGTAAGAATATATCGGACTTACTTGGCCAATTGGTGAGAGTAACATTTTGAATTGTTGGCTTTTATTGTAAAGTCTAGAAAATAAATCAAACACATTATCATTCATTTATAACTTTAGTTCTCTATTATATTCATTATTTTCTTAGATCTATTATGTACGTTATTTTCGTCTTGAACCTTCTTAGTTCTGTATGTGCACTAGAGAATTTTCCTAAGTACAATTATTATAGAATAGAACCAACCAAGTTCATGCTCACATAGATAATGTTCTATAAAGAGTACTCTAGAATGCTCCGCTTATACTATCTATAAAATATTGTCATTATTGAAAGCAAGGCATAGCCTAATCAAACTTTGGTAGGCAGCACTCATTGACATTATAGAAATGGGGAGGAGTCAAAACCTCAAAGTGCTTCTCATTGAGTCAAATATAACTAATTTTTCTATTGAACCTGGTACGTGAGATCTCCAGTCATCAGGTTAGATTTCCATTAAACTGGCCTATTAGTTTAGACTTCACACTCATTTTTTTTTTATGCGTAGTTTATTCTCTCAAAATAACCTATTTGTAAACAATCCAATAGGTTATTCTTCAATAAAACAATCAGTATTGTTCAATTTGAGAGTAACTATCAAATAATATCATATCTACGACATATTTGTTGTGACTTATCATTAAACATGATATTTTGTGTCATTCCATTTGTAGCAAGCTCTCTCAATTAAATCATAAGCACAAATTGTCACCAATTAGAATTTTTTTTTTCAAAATCATTCAAGCCGTCATTCTTCTTTCTAAACTAATAAAAATCTCTAAGTTCTTTCAGTTCTCACATCGTATTAAGGATTTTTACAAAACAACTACACTCATAATAGTAGAGCATATTTACTAATAGATTTTGAATCTTTGCATTGAATATCCAACTTTAAACATTATGTGCATTTTAAATTTAACAAAATATTCACTGCAATACAGTTTATCATTATAAATATTCTAAGATATCTCAATATCTATTTTGAAGAAAACAATGCCACCTCCACAAATTCTGAGGTGCATCGAACTCGAATAGAGAATGTTATGCAAACAAATCTACAACCACAATCTATGTCAGACCAAGCTTAAAAATATAATATTCGTCCACTCTTCTCATATTCGATCAAATTGTTAATTATGTCCATCTTCTTGATAAATAATTTATCCCACTATCAGCTCAAAAAAATAAAACAAAATAATAATAATAATAATAATAATAATGAACAATCACTTATTCTCATTTTAAAGAAATTGTAGTCCCATTTTGTGTGTTGTTTTATATAACATGAAACAAAATCCGCTTCTCAGATATTAATACATCAATCAGATTTTCTGGAATTTCTTTAACTTTAAGATGCTTACATAAGATTCGAGATTGGTAATAGCAGCTAAAGCTTCCTCATGTGAACCCATTGTTACAAAAGCTAGGCCCCTGTTTCTGGTCTTGTCATACATTGAAAGCTTAATCCAACAAACAAACGAAAAGGAGAAAAATAGATCATCAGCTACTGGAAGAAAAAGAAAAATTAGTATTAAAAGAATTCACTGAGAATTAGCACAAACGAACCTCAATCTCAACAACGGTACCATACTGCTCAAACAGAGGACGAAGATCATCAGCTGTGCAAGTCCATGGAACATTCTGCGCGAGCAATCTTGTATTAGAAACATCATCATCTTGTACCATTTCCGATTCTTGTTCTTCTGGGGTAAATTCTTGAATAATGGGTTGGGCTTGGGCTGAAGAGGCCATGTGAAACAGATAAAAATTGGGTCTTTTGGGATGTATAGTTTGCGAGAGAAGATGGGATGTGGAGAGTGAAGGAAGAGAAGTGCTGTTAGGATGATGTGCCTGTGATGGGCATTGATGGGTGTAACTGTAAGAGAGGTGAAGAAGGGAGGATGGGAAATATATAACACGAAATGGTGCTGCCATTGCTACTGTTGTTCAGTTCAGTATTCAAATCAATGGATTGAACTCACTGCTCTTTCCTCATCATCATGCAGTGCTCTGATGGAGAAGGACGAAAGGAGAGGGAAATGGATAAGGCACAGTTTTATCCATCTTAAATCTAGGGCATAGGGCTTATTTGGGTGTAAAAATTGATGGATTGATCCGCATCAGTAGAAAGTTCAAACCCGCCTATTCAAAAGTGGGGCTAACTCCCACATCGATAAATAGTCTGACTCAATCGATATAGCTCTTTCAGAATCGTTGATTTGAATCTAAGTAAATCTCTCAACCTCAACGTTGTGATTTTGAACAAAATCAAATCGCTTCGAAGTAATTGAATTTGGGTTTCAATTTTTATATATCTACCCAATTATATTATAATTACCGATCCCAACTTTAAAAACAAGCGCGTTGAATATGGGGTCGATACTTGTAATAATTTTGTAACGTTTTAATTGTCCGTCTTTTAAACTCTAACTGCAAAGGTGGCATATGAATTTCTACTCTCTGTATATTTATGTATTGATTTTTATATTTTGATTTATGTTGATGTTGTGATTTTTTATTATTATTATAATTATTTTTTTTTAATTTTTAATTTTTATTTTTATTTTTTTTAACTTTGAATTCTTCCAAACTCTAACAGCTACTTCGTGTTTATTTTTCCTGGAAATTTGATCTATGGTATAGAGCTTCTTTATAACACTTTTAATTGGATTTTCCTTCAATTTCCATGGAATTCTTATATTCTTTGCATTGGGCTTTTTATGAAAAGACTGAATCATAATCCAACTATTAAAGGTCCTGCTCTATTTATCTCTCAGACTTGAAGAGGGCCCATCTTTGAGGTGAGCTATTGATAACGGCAACTTACAAAAACACATTTAAAATTAAGGGTATTTTGAAAAATCATATGAAAATTTTTTTTGAAGTAAAAAATACTGTGTAAAATTAAAAAGTGACATTGTGTCACTTTTTTAACACAATTCAAAAAAATTGACACAAATTTTAAAAAGTGACAAATTTCAAACAAAGTGACACAAACACTCCCAAAGTGAAAAAAATAAAAAAAAT